GGGCAAATGAGTGAGAGAAAAAGAAGATGCAAATAGTCTGCAGCAGGTGACCAGATTGTTTGTGCAGTGGAGTGAATGAAAGTCAGAGGTAGACCAATTGTGTGACACTACAGGTAGTTCAGTGGAGAGTGCACTTGATGAAGTGTGATGGGCCTTAATTCAAATCTCATCAGGCAGTTGGATGGGCGACCGTCTTCACACACTGTTTGACTTCCACTAGTTTTACAACCTGTTCAGATCCATTCAAGTGCATTGAGCGGAGGGCTGTGACAGTCTGTATTTAAAATGAAACTCTAAATATATCAGACATTGGTACCTTTACTATTCAGTGTTGTAAAAATACACATCTTATTTCATTATGGAAAAGTGTAAAGTAAAGAATAAAGAAACATGCGTTTTTCATAAATGGGAAATGAAAATGTAGAAAGACACTGCAAATAAAACAGATGTGTAAAGCACAGGTTACCTCACACCCAAACAAAAATAACTCTGCACACTGTTTGACTTTGATCTGTGTATAATAAGAATCCCTGGTCAAATTCAAATGTAGATAGAAATTGCAAGTAAAACAGATCTGAACATCATAGCCAACCTCACACCCAAACAAAAAGAGACTTAAAGTCAGTGCCGTCTTCGCAGTAGTTTAATCACTTTCTTAGAGTATTGAGCAGAGGCTGTGTTCAAAAGGAATCCCTAAATATATCTAGTAAGCCACTGGAAACAGAGGAATGTAGTACTTCACTTTTCAGCTTTGTACAAATATGCTTCTAATTTGGTTCTTTCAGTTGGGAAAATAAGTGAACAGTAAATCATAGAAAACCTGCATGTTATTCTTTCCTTAAATTACAATGTATATATACGCTGCAAGTAAAACAGATGTGTACATAATTGGTAACCTCACACCTGAGCAAAAATAACTTAAAGTGTAATGAAGTGAGTGTTGTGTTTGCACACTGTTTGACTTTATTTGTATCATCTAATTAAGTCCATGCAGGTGCATTGACTGACAATTTCTATTAAAAAATCATTGGCAACCTCACCCCAAGAAGAATATCTTAATATATCTAGTAAGCTACTGGGAACAGGATAAGTTATACTTTACCTTTCAGTGTTGCAAAAATATGCATCTAATTTCGTTCTTTCAGTAGGATAAGGAAATATAAATTAAAGCATTGGTGCATTTTCTTGTTCGTAATGGTAAATGAGAATGTAGATAGTAAACAGATGTGTCCATCACAGGTAACCTCACAGCCGAGCAAAAAGAGCTTAAAGTTGAATCAGGCCGGCGCAGTCTGCTGGTGCAGAACATCACACCTCTGTCTTTTACCCGACTGAGCAGAGGGAGGGAAATGAAATCAGCAGGCTGGGATGTGGGCTGTCTGTAATCAGGTTTCACCGCCCTTCCCTATCGACTGCTGGGTCAAGATCATAAGCATGCTGCTCTGTCTGCCCACCATCCTGCCTGTCTATTTCACTTGCCCTCTCTCTCAATTTCAGTTCCTCTGATTCCCTGTCCGGTGTGCTGCACTGCTGTTTCGCACTGAATGTAACAGTCGATGAATATAATAATCGGCTGGCATCAATCGGAGGCTGATTGAGATACAATTCAATGTATTAAAGCTCACATTTGATTATGAACAATGATAGATTAGCTTCACATTGCAATGTGATTGCATTGTGCTGTGAACAATGTCATTTGTTTTACAATTAAATATTGAATGTGGTGTTTGTAGCAAATGCGTTCCTGATGACCCCTCGGGTGTACATTTCAATTAGAGGGTCATGCACCCTGATGGAGGCCATTTCCTCATGCGTTTGACACCTCAAATAACACATTTGTATTGTAAGAGGCAGCCACCAGCATCAATTTGTGATAATATGGTGTTGTGTGTTTGCAGGAGGGATTGTATAATGCACAGGAGATGACATAGAGTCAGCATGTAATGAGCCTTGATTAAACTTAATAGCAGTATTGTGAGATTGGGAGCGCTCCATTTCACTGTGATGGAAGAGGCTGTCTCTTAAAGGTCCATTTGTGTCTTACCAAGGTCAGCATATTGTCTTTAATGAGAGTAATCTCATGGAGGTGCAGTAAATAATAGAACTACTGCCCATACTTCAATATACACCAAGTTTGATAGAGGATATTAGTGTGGGCACCAACAAATGACAGCACACGTCTGTGGGCAGCACCACATCAACTTTCTTCAAACTCATAGTCCATCTTGAAAATGTTGAAGAACCACAACAAAAAATGAATACTGGCAATAATAACCGGCAATAAATTACATTACATTACATTTAGCTGACGCTTTTATCCAAAGCGACGTACAATAAGTGCATTCGACCAGGAAGATACAACCTTGAAGAAAACAGAATCATATAAGTACATCAGGTTTCATAGAGCCAAACATTTCAAGTGCTACTCAACTGGCTTTAGATAAGCCAGTCCTTTATTAGTATATAAGTGCTTTGTTAGTAATTCAATCGCTCGAAGTGGAGTCTAAAGAGATGAGTTTTCAGTCTCCCCCGGAAGATGTGTAAGCTTTCTGCCGTCCTGATTTCAACGGGGAGCTCATTCCACCATTTTGGAGCCAGGATAGCAATCCCACGAGTTTTTGCTGATGGGAACTTGGGTCCTCCTCGCAGTGAGGGTGCAGCGAGCTGTTTGGCTGATGCAGAGCGGAGTGCACGTGCTGGGGTGTACGGTTTAACCATGTCCTAGATATAGGAAGGGCCAGATCCATTCGCAGCATGGTACGCAAGTACCAGTGTCTTGAAGTGGATTCTAGCAGTTACCGGAAGCCAGTGAAGGGGATGTCCCAATGAACTCTCCCAGCTCAGGCTGGGAACAGTTAATTGATGTCCCCAGGGTCCCGAAGTCAAGAACCAGGGGAGGAGAAGAGGGAACATGTGTATTGAGCGAGCCCAGACCAGTAATCGGGCGTACCAAAAAGTATTGGTGACGAGTGCGACTCCTGTGGGGTTAATTAAGACAGGAAAGGGGCGAGTCTCTGGGTCCAGCAGCGTGGCGTAGAGAAACGAACGGATCGTCTGTAGAGAGCCACCTACAGGACCGGAGTAGTTGAGTTCGAGGTTGAACTGTTCTGACTTGACGAAAAAGGAAGGCCCTTTTCTAACAGTGAGAACTGGATTGTTAGTTGTAGCCGTGGAGACAACAAAGGGGCTGAGTCTGACGTCTCTTAGACCCACACTAGGATCTATTGTTTGACAGGGAAGTGACGTTTGTAACGACGATGTTGGGCGATTCGACGTCTATGTGAGAAATCGTTGAGTCCTCCTATTGCAGGGGTTCGACTGGGTCTTTTGTCGTGTCCAAGACGCAGGGGTCCGGAGAACAGTAGAGGTGCGGACTGATGACCGTTGAGGAGGACCGGACCAGATGGACGTACACGGTAGGGCTGGGAAAGACGTCGATTAGGTCTTACGGTCGCCGAGCAAACCAGAAGTTGGAGGGATTTAAGAGGGTGTGTGGTGCGGCGTANAGGGTGGAAAAAGTATGTGAACCCTTGGATTTAATAACTGGTTGACCCTCTCTGATATGCAACTATAGGAAACGTTTGGTTGAGGTTATTGCTGCCAAAGGAGGGTCAACCAGTTATTAAATCCAAGGGTTCACATACTTTTTCCACCCTGCACTGTGAATGTTTACATGGTGTGTTCAATAAAAACATAAAAACATACAATTGTTTGTGTGGTTTTAGCTTAAGCAGACTGTGTTTGTCTATTGTTGTGACTTAGATGAAGATCAGAACACATTTTATGACCAATTTATGCAGAAATCCAGGAAGTTCCAAAGGGTTCACATGCTTTTTCTTGCAACTGTATATCAGTATATTTGAATGCATTACTGTGATCGTCTTTCATATTTAAAAAGCACTATTTCCATCAAACTACTTTTAAAAATATGCTCCATAAAGCAACTGTAGACGGCAGATTCATATATCATGGGATGGAAACGCCAAGGTTGGCGCTCTGACGCTGCCTCAATGCTTTTTTCATGCAGAAGTGGGCGTGACCAAATCTAAAATGGGTCGGAAAAACATAAGAAACTTGCTTCATCTCCCCACTAGCATTGAAAAAATAAAACACCAATTACATATAAAATCCCCCCATATAATAAAAATGACCTCAACAAAATAACTGTAGTTAGCTTTAAATATAAGAAATTAGGATATTGAATTTGTACATATCTGGAGTTTTAAATTTGCCCTAAGCAATATTTGTTATAACATAATTAGCTTACTGTTATCTGTAGGGTTTGACAGCAAACATTTATTTTCTGCCAATTGAGAAAGCAATCTGACCATCTTTTTATGGGTGTGAGGCTCCTCTGCTCAGGGTTAGCATTAACGGCGTCGTCAATTGTTAACTATTTAAATAAATGGGAGGTTTTATTATGGACATCAAACATTATACTATCACATAAATAAGACAATTGAGGCCAGAAACGTAGATCCAACTAGGCCAGCACTCTCTGTTATTGCATTGCTTGCATACATTCTGGTTAAAATCCTTTAAAAAGCATCTCCATTCCATCAGAAGTAGTGTTGTTTAATGACTAGAAGCACAAACAAATCAATACTGAGAGAGCAAAAAGGTTAAGAGTTCAGGCCAACGACTGCCGACAGAAAACTATTGTTGTGCAGGAAATGCAGAACCTCAAGGCGTAAATATACAACAACATAATTATAAATATATCTAGCACCAACAATGTAACCAAGGGCAATGTATCTGATCTTTTTTAGTCGATTTCACCTCATCATACACTGGGCTGATAGTGCAGAGCTTGCCTGTGTGCGTGTTCTTCTTCATAATAAACATGCATATTATCCCCTGATACTGTAGTTTGACCCTATTCCATAAAGAGTTGAAAGGTGAAAGCTATTGTGAATGGAAAGCAGCCATTATCACAAAGCAGAGGTTTGAGTGCAGCAGTCTACAAAGATCATTGGTCAAGGATAATCAACATTGCTATCATGTGCGTCTTTTGGGATCAGGAGATCAAGGTAAAAACATTTCCTGAAGCACTGGGCTCGCTTTTGAATATTCTTCTGAGGCAGGAGGATGATGGATCAACAGGCTGAGGGTAAAGAGCAAGGACAAAACCATCAGGTGCTGATTCTTCTCCTCACACTCGTCCATAGTCGAGCTTTGACGTGCATCAGGTTGTGTTTGTGTACGCCAACAAAAGCATCATAATGGAGGAAAGGTGAATGAGGCCGACAGGGGAGAAGAGAAAAGGTAGGAAGGACAAAACATACCATTCATAAATGAATTCTTGTAGATATTTTGAAGCTGAATTTGTTCAAAATGAATCGCAACAAACATTTCAAATGCTACTCAACTGGCTTTAGATAAGCCAGTCCTTTATTAGTATATACTGTAAGTGCTCTGTTAGCAGTTTCTTTGATAGTAATTCTATCGCTCGAAGTGGAGTCGAAAGAGATGAGTTTTCAGTGTCCCCCGGAAGATGTGTAAGCTTTCTGCTGTCCTGATTTCAATGGGGAGCTCATTCCACCATTTTGGAGCCAGGATAGCAAACCCTAGTGTTTTTGCTGATGGGAACTTGGGTCCCCCTCGCAGTGCGGGTGCAGCGAGCTGTTTGGCTGATGCAGAGCGGAGTGCACGCGTTGGGGTGTACCGTTTAACCATGTCCTGGATGTAGGAAGGGCCAGATCCATTCGCAGCATGGTACGCAAGTACCAGTGTCTTGAAGTGGATTCTAGCAGTTACTGGAAGCCAGTGAAGGGAGTGGAGGAGCGGTGTGGTGTGGGAAAACTTTGGAAGGTTGAAGACCAGACGAGCCGCTGCATTCTGGATGAGCTGCAGAGGTCGGATGGCACATGCAGGTAGACCAGCCAGGAGGGAGTTGCAGTAGTCTAGGCGTGAGATGACGAGAGCCTGGACCAGAACCTGCGCTGTTTTCTGGGTCAGCTGGGGACGTATCCTCCTGATGTTGTAAAGAGTGTATCTGCAGCAGCGGGTTGTAGCAGCAATGTTTGCAGTGAAGGACAGTTTGTTATCTAGGGTCACACCCCGATTCCTTGCAGTCTGAGTCGGGGAAACAACAGATGTGCCGATGTTGATTGTTTGGTCAAGAGTGGGACAATCTTTTCCCAAAAGGAAAAGCGGTTCAAATCTTGTCAAGGTTGAGCTTGAGGTGGTGAGCAGACATCCACTGAGAGATGTCAGCTAGACAAGCAGAGATGCGTGCGACGACCTGGGTCTCTGAGCAGGGAAAGGACAGAATTAATTGGGTGTCGTCAGCGTAGCAGTGGTATGAAAAAACCATGCGGGCTAATGACTGATTCGAGCGAGTTTGTGTACAAGGAGAAGAGGAGGGGACCGGGAACAGAGCCCTGAGGGACCCCTGTAGTTAATTGACAAGGGTCGGACTCGGACCCTCTCCAAGTTACCCTGTAGGTGCGGTCTTTGAGGTATGAGGTGAGGAGGGAAAGTGCAGAGCCTGAAACTCCAAGTTCTGGAGAGTGCGAAGGAGGATCTGATGTTCACCGTGTCGAATGCAGCAGACAGGTCCAGAAGATGATGACAGAGGAGAGGGAGGCTGCTTTAGCGTGTGCAGTTCTCAGAGACAGCAAGGAGAGCAGTTTCTGTTGAGTGACCTGCCTTGAAACCAGACTGGTGCGGATCCAGAAGGTTGTTCTGATGGAGATAACAGGAGAGTTGTTTAAAGACAGCGCGTTCAAGTGTTTTAGACAGGAACGGGAGGAGAGAGACAGGCCTGTAGTTTATAACATCAGACGGGTTGAGAGTGGGTTTCTTTAGGAGAGGGTTTACTCTTGCCTCCTTGAGACTGTTTGTAAAGTGACCAGAAGTTAGAGAAGTGTTGATGAAATGGGTGAGAAACCTATTTTTTTATTAAATGCTTTTTTCCCAACAAAACTATATACTGTACATCTTAGCTGTTTTAACTTTAAGAAATATGAAGCCCGAACTAGCTTAGTTCATTGTTGGTTTTAGTCTTTTAAATGGGATTTTTATTTTATTTTCAACAAAACAATTATACAATAATGCCAATGTCTTCCTTTAATCATCTCATGATGTATCAAGTCTGAATGCTTGTCTGTAAGCAATGTAGAGCAATGAAAAAGTAGCTTGAAATGAACAATTCAAATATTAAGTTCGTATTGTGATAATAGCAAATTCTAAAAGTAAAAAATAAACTCTACCAGACACTCAATTCAATCTAGTTCTGAAAAGTGAAATCATTAACGTTTCTATTTTTCCATGTTTCCATAGCACCACCAAGGGCTGGAAGACATCAGCCCCTCTGAAGAGGTGACAGATACGGAGGATAATGAAGAGGAGGACCTGGGAGTCCTGGACGACCAGCGGAGCATCATCCTCCACCTGCTCTCCCAGCTCAAACTGGGCATGGACCTTACACGGGTAAGGAAACTACAAAAATAAACTGTGCAGGCTCACGAAAATAAGGTTTTCTGGTCATAAATGAGATTTTGTTGAGCCATTCCCCTAAGAAATGGTTTCCTTTCAAATCTCTGGGGTTTCACAGGTGGTGTTGCCTACCTTCATTTTGGAAAAGCGATCACTCCTGGAGATGTACGCCAACTTCATGGCCCACCCTGACATGTTCCTGTCAATCACAGCGGGGGCCACAGCCGAGGACCGGATAGTCCGGTTTGTGGAGTATTACCTGACCGCCTTCCACGAGGGCCGGAAAGGTGCCGTGGCCAAGAAGCCCTACAACCCCGTGCTGGGGGAGACCTTCCACTGCTCCTGGGAAGTGCCTCGGGACAAAGTCAAACCTTTGGTCAGATCCAACCAGGGGTCCTCCTGGGAGCCAAGCAGGGGCCCCAACAACACGCAGCAGGGCGCTGACTCACCAGCAGACTGCTACACTGTCCGGTTTGTGGCCGAGCAGGTGTCCCATCATCCACCTGTGTCTGGGTTCTACTGCGAGTGCCGGGAGAAGAGCATGTGCGTCAACGCCCACGTGTGGACCAAGAGCAAGTTCATGGGAATGTCTATAGGAGTGTCCATGGTGGGAGAAGGTGAGATACATCTCAACATGACCTCGCTGTAAAAACGTTTTTTTAATACAGTAATATAACAGCAATCCAGTTGAACATACTGCAAAAATAATGCAATATTGATCATGTCACAATGATGAGTTTAAACCAGGAAACAAGTTCAAAAGTAACTCTTACCAGCACTGAACAAAAATAAATGTAATTCACATTTACTGTAATATGTGCTCAAACTTTTGCTCCAAAAATGGATTCCAACCAAAACATGCTGCCATTAAATATAGCTCACGTTTGCAGCATTAGTAGCTGAAGGAACAAAAGGTCAAACAGTTCTCAAATATTTGTTTTCTTCTGGAAGATCTCACTTTACAGTCCATCACAGCCTCCTGTCCTGAAGGGAATATAAGGCTGCATGTCACTTATCAGGATTCATGTCATAGATTTTATGAAACAGGCATATCGAGACCCACACAGACTATGATCCCGCTCCCATGGCAGTCAATAATCCAGTCCTCTCTTAGCACCATTGCACCATGTACAGTACGCTGCTGGGGATGAGTCACCCTGAGCACAGACACAGGAAGTCCTTGAGCCCGATCGACTGTTTCTGGACACCTGAACTCATCCAGTCAGACAGTACGGCTTTCTCAGGCTTTACCGCCCCCCCCGACCGGCTGCCTGATGCTGCCTATTAGAGCACATTCTGACCCTCACCCCGGGAACTATTGATTGCTGGATATTCTTTTGCCAGGGCTGCAACCCTGATAGCAGTTGATACAGGGTTTTAGGAATAGCCTGGATTTCACTGATTGGCAGTGAGTCAGCAACAGAGAGGGATACAGCAGCTGACTCAGCCAGAATGATGGCTTTTGATTGGACCTTTACAACATTGTGATTAGGGCTCAAGTTGGCCTTTTCAATCAGCACAGGCTTAGTGTACACTTTCAAACGGTCATACTATGGCTTAAAGTACATGATTATTATAGCTACACAAAGTAGAGGGCGATATGGTCAGATGAATGTTACTTCCATCATGTGAACATTGTTCATTTATGCTATCCATTCTTTGAAACCATTGTCAGTACCTACAATAGTTAGATACTGACATTTCATTTCCATTTAGAGTGACCTTTTCTAACCTTTACTAATTATGCAGCTTTAGAGGTGCTGCTTGGTGGATTTTGTTACCTTTTAGACTAAAGACTGCTTATAAGTATTGCACATATTCACCTCTATAATTGGTATGCTGTATAGAGTTTGGCATTTTGATTGTCGACTTCTTTTTTAATCGACTTTTATACAATCTGATTTATTTTTGCAACTGTGGAATCACTGCCTGCTGGTTATTGGAGAGAATGCAAGTTTAGAGCTCAGGTAGAATTAGGAATGCGCGACTAACTTATTTGAAAGAGTATTGTTCACAGATTGGTTGCTCCTTCATAAAAAAAAAACACCTCATGTCTCGTGTTTAGGCTTACAGGGTGACATATTGTACTGATACAAGTTATCATACATGTCACACATACAGTTGAGCTTTTCAATAATAATTCATCATGGTAGTCCTACTGTAGAAAATAACCTATTCAGAACCACATAAAGGCTTTTTGTCATCACACTGGTGCCACATAGAGTTTATCTTTGTGCACATTTTGGTGAGAAACATGATTATGACAAACAGTTAGACAATCATCTCACGGGCATTAGAGTTGTTGTTGTTGTTGTTTATTACACACTAATCCATGCTGAAGAACACAGATGATGCTGGTGTCGTTCATGTGTAAAGACTCTCATGTACTCGCAAACACAGAAGAAGATATTAACTGTTGCTGTGTATTTTGCATTACATAGTATAGAAAACAATTAGGCCGAATGCTGCCTTCATTGTGGTTACATAAATAAACTGGTTTTATTGCCTATACACAAGATATGAAAACTCTAGCAAAAATTACTCAACTTTATTTCTTACATGCAGGAGCACACTGAAGTGCCTGGTTATTTAAAGTGGACCTATCAAGCAAAATGCACTTTGTGAGGTATTTTATACATAAATATGTGTCCCCGGTGCGTCTGGGAACTCACGCAGCGTCAGAAAATAAAACCCTCTCTCTTTTCCTCCGTACCCAAATCTTTTAAAAACGGCTGTACAACGAGCGGACCCACAGATAATATGCCGGTGTGAGTACCATATGTGTTCGGGGTACCATCCAANTTGGTGGCGTTCTGAGCATGTCAGTTTGAATTATGACATCATCGTGTTCCATGGCGAGGGATGGCCTAGCATCGAGCGAACGCGAACTTTGGCGCCAAATCACGGCTGCGCCGTGCGAAAGAAAAAAAGTTCCGTGATAACTTTAGATCGCCCAAAAAAATCGCGTTTTTCCAACGCCAAATTCAAAATGGCCGACTTGCTGTACGTTATTTTATACCCCTCCAAGAGGCTTTTTTGCTCGTCTCCGCACCCTAGATATGCGTAGCGAGTTTCGTTGGTTTACGTGAAAGTTAAAGTAGGGGGAGTTAACGTTAAAAACGGAAGTGGGCGTGGTCTACGCAATTTTTTACGCAAAGTTCCGGTACCAATTACACATCGCTATTTTCACGACTTGTGAGCGCCCATGTGACTCGGTTGGCGTGGGCTACCTACTGTCATGATTTAGGCCACTTTTGCCCGTCTTTTGCCCGGTTTTGTGTGGGTTTTGCATGGTTATCGCTCGCGTTGCGAGCGACTAAATTGATCCTACCGATATCAATCTTACCGATATCAATCATGCGAGTTGCAGTCACGTGGGCTCACGTGACTGGGCTCACGCGGCCTATCACCCGTCACGATTTCCGAACCTTTTCTGTGCTTTTGCCGGTCTTTTTCCCTGTTTTGTGTGTGTTTTGCAGGTTTATCGGTCGCTGCGCGACCGATTTCAATAGGGTCTTCGCCGACCTAGGTCTCAGACCCTAATTATTATTCTACAATTGAGGATTTTCCAGAGAGGGTTATTTGTGAATATACGACCCTCCGGAGCGTTTGCAATCAACGGGAGCATATGCTGCAAATTGTTGTTTCTTACACGACCACTAGAGGTGCTAAACTTTAAAACGTAACGACAGTATAGATCGTAATAAGCTGCTGAACAATCTACCTATTTGGTCGTTTTTTGGAGGACAGGCTGGTGAACACATATATCAGCATCTTTCTCATTATCACTGTAATACTGAGCATGCTGATATTAAAAACGTACTGTTGACTCTTGGCATTTGACTGTTTTTCCCAATCTTAACCCCTGTAACTCTCTGACTATCATGCACTCTGTTTTGTGCAGAATGGACAAAAGCAACCAACAACTTCATAGGTTAGTACAAGACAAAGAGAGGGTATGCTCTGGCCGGGAACAAAACAAACAGTCCAGTCGAATGATCTGTTTCACATTAGCTCAGGGGTTATTTGGTGAGAGGGGGAAGGCTGTGGACACATTTTACAAGAGAGCAATAAAGCACGCAGGAGCAACAATAAACCATTTGGTCTTTAGGCGACTTGTGTTTTGTTTAGTCGCATTAGTGTACTTTGAACTGGCAGTGCAGGCGGCGGATGGCAGGAAATAAAGATCAGAGGGGACAGAGACTCAGAAGGGGAAGCTGAAAAGGTTTTAAAGATATACAGGGCAGCCTAGGAAAAGTAAACAGAGAAACAGGGAGATGAAGAGATAAAGACAAAGTGAGTGTGAGACAGGAAGAGACGGGCGGCGAGAGAAGAGGCAGAGCTTTTTATTTATGCACGACTGTGTCTGTTGTTCTTTATTGTACATGTACACCTCTGCACATTCCTCTAATGGACGAGTCATTTTCAGCTGCAGTATAACCAACAGAAAAACCACTGACTACCTTCAGTAAACGGGTCCATTCAGGAGGCTGTTTTGGCTGCACTCTCTGTGCCTTACTCCTGTACGTCTCTAACTCTGATAAATTGCACTGTTTGGGGCCTTTCTCTGCGCACCAGATCATATTTCATGCCACACAGCACAGGAGGGAGAGAGGGAGGGTCAGAAGGAGAGGAGGAGGTATAAGAGGAATATGAAAAAGAGGAAGAAGAGGGAATGAGGTTAGAGTTGCTAGAATTTTAGGGCGAAAGACAAGCATTTTCAAACTGTGACATCTTTCTTACATACAGATATTTATATAGTCAACTGTGGATGGTTTGAAGAGTATAATCCCTAAAAAATATGTAATGCCAAAATGTGGGCTTAATGAATATCCTTGAGTGGGTGAGTATTCGATGTGAACAGACCTAAATGTTGGCTGAGGCTTCCTCTGCCTTTTTATTTGCAAGATGTCTCTATTTTGGTGTGGGAGGATGAATTCAGTCTGCCATCAACTTCCTTTCATGATGACCAGTAAAACCATCTCTTTCATATGCCTCTGACTGCAGTCACCAATTTTATTTTCATAACCAAAACATTAGCTGGTTTCTTTCCCTTCTGTTGTAAATGATCTCCCTGTGTGTGGATGCAAAACAGTGATTACTTGAAAGCTCAAGCCTCAATCATGGTGGTGTGGAGGCAACACAGCAGATGTTACTTTGGGGTTAAACATCAGTTCTTTTATGCAGAATGTGCTTATCCTGACACAATCGAACTGGCCGGGAATAGATGCTGGCACACACAAAGACCTAGAAAAACATGAGCAGAGAAAGGCCCCTTCAAAATGACCTCTTATTTACTGCTGTCTAAACTCACTCCCAGATCCACGTTTATTTTCTGTCACACGCTGTGAAGCCACTAACATAGCTGCTTATAATACACAGTGTGTGTGTGTGGGGGGGGGGGTCAGGCAAGGCTGAAAACTCAAACAATGCCATGCATATGTCTTTTGAATGCCTGAATATAAAAAGGTTTATAATTGATGACAGCAAATACAGACAAAAGAAAATGCATTTAAATCTTCAACCCTGAATGCTTGATAAAGCAGCCTTTGAGCATTTGTTGAAGGTAGCCGGATGAGAGCAGAATTAGAAGCAGCTGGAGAGCGGAAGAAAAATA